TTCTGTCTGTGCGTGTGTGTGCTGCGTGTATTCACTTCCCCCCTCGGTGAAGGCCCTCCCTGACTGTCAGCACTACCCAGCTGTTTTTATGGAAGTCTGGCTGAATCCAGTTCCCACTGCCTCAAGACACGACCTCATCTTACACCCCTTCTCCCGCTCCTCCCAGCCTCCCTCCATCTATCGATTGCAACATTTCCCCCTTTTTTTGCTTACTATCATCGTTCCTTTGATTTTTGTCATTGTCCTTGGTGTACTGTTGTTTACCACTTAATTTCACATCGTCTTTTTCTGTCCCCCTTTTTTCCGTTTTTTTTTTTTTTTGCTTCCTGTCAACCCCCCCACCCACCCCCACTGTTTACCCTCCTCTCCTGTCTCTTGAGCTCTTCTGCTTCTCCTGTCACCAGCTTTCCTTTTTTCTCTTGTTTGTCCAAAGAAACAAGTTGAGAAAACAAAAAACAACATGAACTAAAGAGCATAGAGTGTATTCGTATATTCAGACACGTATGTCTCACTGCTTTCTGTCCAGATATACAGGATGTTAAAGTGTGGAAGCCCCAAGTTGCTGGGTAAGCTGTTGTTTTTGTCCCCGTCCTTCAGGTTCCCTCAGGTGGTCAGCCAGGGCTTCTGTTTCTGCAGCAGGCAGAGGGCACATGAACAGAAAAGCACAACTAATCTAAAACTGAAATAAACAGAAACAAAAGCATTCTTTTTTTAATTTGTTATTTAATTAAGAGCAAAAGGGCCTGAACAGGTTTGAGCATAAAAATACTAATAAAGGGAAATCATGGATCATTTATCTGGTTGAAACAGGTTACAAACAGTGTTGAAAATATGACCACATAAGCAGACTTTTATGATTACGATGATGTGTGCTGCTCTCGTTTGTGTTTGTGATCTTCTTGTTCCTCCAGTTTAGCTCCTTGAGCAGAGCCACACTGCTTCCTAGTGAAGTGAAACAGTGTTAAACAATGAAAACTGACCACTGTGTGCGCTTCTCACACTGCTTTTGGGGATCTTTCTACAGTCTTCTTCCCCTGTGTGTAGAACTTTGATGCCCCTCCTCTTTATGTTCGATGAAAGGTTTTAACCAATCAGCCGTCTACTCATGCACAGCATCATCGCTGTTGTTTGAGGGATGACAGATCTGCTTGTTTCATCTGCATATTTTTCACCGTACATAACAAAATAGCTACACAAATGGAAAATTTATGCAGTTACTCATGATGTGAGCTTGCCCAGAGAACAGGCAGTGTAAGCCTGCTTAACAAAACACACAAAAAAACACAAAGCTAAGTGTTAACTCCTACAAAAATGCTAACATTGACGCACATGTTCATTCTCAGTCTTGGACGCTTGCTTGACTTGTGTTTGTATTTGATATATTACTTACATTGATGGTACATAAATCGGTTTCACAGACCTCATCCTGATGTGATGCATAGTTACGGCTTAAGTAAAAAAAAGACCTGTGGAGACAAAAAGGTCATTCCAGTGAAAATTGGATAGAGATGAAGTGCGTATTTTTAGAGGAGTCGGCACGGTTAAGATCAGAGGAAGTCTTCAGGATTTCAATGATGGAAGCAGGACTGTGTGTATGTACAGTCATGTGCGTGTTCGCTATATGATCTACCACTCTCGTGAAGCTGTAGAATCTAACACCTTTCTTCTTCGTGGACCTTTCCCACGATAACTCTCTCCCAGCTTCTCTCTACTCTGCTGTGTGCATTCATCATCCTTTAGGATGGGAGGATTAGTAAAGTGGGCTCAAAGAGGATCACACAGAACACAAATAATTACAACCCATTACAAGCCCCCGCATCATTTAGCAAAAGAAATATGTCAAAAGACCAGTGAAGATCTTCAGTGGATGAACTCAAACCAGACTTTTCCTTTGGCTGACGGTGCTCTCTCAGCATGGTTTTCAGTGGATTAGGATTGAAATGTAGTAAATCTATTACATGGGAGCGTTTGTTTTCCTAAACTTGGTCTCATCAGGTGTCATTTTTGGTTTTTACGCATTCTATCAGGCAAAATGCAGTTTTATTACCTTTTAATTTTTTTATTTTACCTCCATTCCTGCTCATTTAGCAAGATGAGATTCTTACGGGAGGAGGGACCACAGCCATTTGGGAAATGTGGAACTGAAAGGGATGCGAACCTCAACAAGAACACAATGCACTCATATTCATAGAGGATGTGTAACCGGCGATTGCGTTAAATGTACTAAACTCTTGTTTCGGTTGTGTTCACATCTGCATGCGGACAGATGCAAAGCAGCTGCAGAGACACAAAATGCCCCAAAAAGATTCGAACTAAAGATGCAGATCTGAGCAGCACATCGTCTGTATCGTTGGAGTCATTTTGATCTCTGTTAGTCTTTGCTCGCTTACCATCGCCCAGCAGTTAACGTCAAAGCTGCAGAAGTTTCATTAGACAAAGTCACGTGCACTCGGCTTCAGAGACTGTGCAACATTTAGCACTCAGAGCATGTTTGAATCCCTGCTGCGCCTGATATGAATGTGATTATCAGTCCGTTCACAGGTTTTTAAATTGGGTTTGCTTTTGCTTGCTGGAACAACAACACCTACTGATTGGTCACACAATTCATTTTCAGTGACAAAACAGGACATGATGGACAAATAACTTAATGACAGCTGACAGCAAGCGTGATCATATTATATTAGTTATTCTGCAGGATTAACTAGAGGTTAATTATAAACTGAAATAAATGTGAGTCCTTGGGGTCGATCCTCTCAAGGATGATGTTTCCTTGCAGGCACGTTGGACTTTAAATTATTTATGCTGTGTGTGAGTGCAGTCTGAGCTATAAATAGCTTCAGCTAAACATAAAGCCACTCGCTTTACCACAGCCATCTTACACACACACAGTTGTCTTTTACCCACAAATACACACGTTCATTCACATCTACACTGTCGTGCGAGATGCCGTGTTATGTGTGTTATCATGCAGGCATATTTGATCTTCTGGATGTCCGCGCACAACTCACACAATCTGCGGTCTGCTCCAGTGTCAAGCTTGCTGTGCAGCATCTGTACGAGCAGGGTTACACGGGCGTTACCAGCCTATAGCGGCTCGCTCTGCTTTGTTCATTAATAGATTTTCCAAAGGACGTGAACTTTGCAAAGATGCAGAAAAAAATGGTAAAGGTCAGAGTACATATGCAGCATAAGGTTTTCTTCCATCAATGATTGGCTGAATCATGAGTCACACGAAAGGAGAGAATACACTGAAGGCTGCAAGTCACTCACTAGAAGTGACTGAATAAATTGAAAAAGATACATCATAAATGAGTTTAAATATGAAAAATTAGAATAATGGATGTTTTGCTCTTAATGTGACACAGTTTCTGTTGTGTAGGGCTGAAAGACTTCACCAGTCAGTCAGTTAACATTCACCCCTCGTTGGACATCGTGGAAGAGGGGTGTGCATCTTATAGTTGTTCAGCAAGTCTGTGTGCTGTTCCACCTGCTTCTGATGTTATTAGTCCATTTAACACGTGTTATCAGCAGAAATCAGCCAAAGTGGGCGGCTGTTCACCGTCAAGATGATGCCACGCTGTGTCAGTAATGTTGAGGCTGTGTTTTATTCCAGTAAGGAAGTAATGTTTATTTAGTTGGACTGTTTAAGGAAAAAGTTTCACAAAATGCTTAATGTGAGTCAAAATGGTGATAATGAATGAAAACGGTATTTTTCTCCTGCACTGATCGAACGCACATGTAGTGCCAGCAGGGGAACTTTGACCCACTTGTCTACAATATTAAACATTTCCCTGCACAGGCAACGGGAGACTAAATATAATATTGATAATATGACTTGGCTAAATATGCAGTATATCTATATGGCAGTGAAAACTACATACAATTACTGCATACTCGGTCATCTTCATTTACAGTTTTCATTTTCATTTACGGTGTATTTTAGTAATTCCATGCACACTGCTAGCTTTGCAGGAAGTGAAGGCCACAGCCTACACACATGCCAACATTTGTGTCTTACGAATTGCGGCGACAGCTGCTCAGTTGGTTTTAAAACTGCAAACCAAAGTATTGCATCAGCAGACGTGAATTTGTCATATGCACAAAATCTTACTTCCTTCTTCCCCACACATTCTCTCAGCAATATGCACACAGCCACAAACATGCAAAAATACTCACATTTCAGTTATACTAACAGCAGCAACAACTGAAACTTGAAATGGAAGAGATTTCAATTATATTATAGTACTGAACTTATATACTCTTGACACTTAATTAGATACAGTGTGCAAGTACCTGGTTACACCTTTTCTGTACCGTACCTCAGTTTTCTATTCTTAGCTGACAGGAGTGGTATTCAGTGTGGTCTTTTGCTGCTGTGGCCCAGCTTCAGGGTTTGTTTTGTTCTATCTTCACAGATGCTCTTCTGCAGACCTTGGCTGTAATGAGTGGTTATTTGAATAACAGGGCAACATGATGTATAGAAGGACACATGTGGTCGTTCACTGCGCCTGGTCTCACCTCTGACATCAACAAAGCACCAATAGCTACACCACATTCAAACTCACTTAAATCATCTTCCTTTCTCATTTTGATCCCTAGTTTGAACTTCAGCAGGTCATACTGAGTCATGTAGACTGAGTTCCTGCTATTGGGTGTACTGATTAGATGTTTGCATCAACGAGCAGGTTAGCATAAAGTGCCCAGTGAATATAGAGGTGTTAAATAGTTATTACTTTTTGCTTAATAAAGCCTCCTATTGCTTATCATTAGTAGAACAATTAGCTTTTATTTATTTATTTGTTGCGTTTTCTGAATAAAATGTTCTCTATATGTATTAAATGTATCAAAACAAGTCATTTCTGACACGATGCTGATGAAACCTGTCAACAAAAAACATTAATGACAGCAGAGAAAATGCACAGTGGAAAGTAACACTGTGCATTGCTTAAGTAGTTAATGCACCTGTACCCAGTACCAGTCTGTGTACAGGTGCCTGTATCTTGTTCATCGCGTTCTCCCCCTAGCGGTCTTATTGTGTCAGCACATCCTTGATCATGTACTGATGTGCAGCCGCCGGCAGGGGGCGGTGTAGCACAAGTCTGTACCAGCCTGGACAACCCTTTTCTGCATATGAGAGCAGCGAAGCAGCAGGCGGTTAACAGGTTGGTAAAGTTGTATTTTTGTTTGTATACAGATCCATAGTGACTTGGATGAAAGCAAAAAAAAAAACCCCGTGGTTTCTCATCAAAACATTTTTGTTGCCGCCGCCGCCAGTTGAACCATCTTTGTAGGGTTTACATCACCAACTGTTGCTAATTAGCTAATTAAGACTATAAAGCTCCACAAAGAGTGAAAGCCTTGGTGTTGCTGGTCTGTGGTGGCTCCTTCTGGTTGTTTTAAACGCTCTGTAACAAATGATGACAATAGACTGGGATAGAAAAAGAAAGCGTTTAAGTTTCATGCACAAAGGCAGTTAAAGGTTTTATGTTAGATGGCAGGCTAGCGAAGCTAAAAGCTCATTAGCTGACATAAAACAAAACAACTGTATTTGTTGCATTTTGCTCCACCTAATTGAAGCATTGGGACTTTGAACACACAAATCTGTTTGACAAATAAGTGGCCAAAGTCCAAATCCAGAGAGCTGCAAAGATTCAATACATGCTGAGGACAAATCAATACAAAATCCTTTTTAGAGAAAAAAAATTAAAGCTCCAACATATTTAATATCTAGTGAATGCGTCACAATTTCCAGGTGACAGTGTCTGAGTCCAAAGATTAACGATGTATAATTTATACTCGTGTAAAGAAGCAACGAAGCTGTTTTTGTGTGTTATAACTGTCTTAAATGATCAGCTTCATTAGGCTTGATCAGAAATTAAGGAAACATAGGTGCATAAACCTTAAATGTCCACATTTACTGTAAATCATCAGATGTGGGAAGGGTTCTTAGATCAGGATGAGCATTGCAGGAATGTTTAGAAGAGGCCTTACTTGTGCTGAGATTAGTGTTTTATCCTTCAGGCGAGAAATGCCGGGAAATATGAGGAATGTGTTGTCAGCTGTAGCTACTGTATCTGAAGCTTGTGCTTGCTGACAGGAGGGTCAGACACATGAAGGAAAAGGTGAAAGGGTTTTTTCTTTTTGTAAGAGTATCTTAAAGAAAAACAGACAACTTCCTCTCTGCAGTCCAGACCTGTGCAACATGATTTATTCTTTAAAGACTCTGAATTTTGATTAAGTACTGTAGCTGCTGTCCAGGTGGAGTATAGTTGTGTGAGACCACAAGACAGGTTCAGTGTAGTCAAGCACCGGTCACAGGGAAACTATGGTCAGTGACAAGCCTCGGGACCTCCACGCACACTTGCGTTCAGTCTGTGTGCACGTATGCCCCATTCACGTGCTTGCTGCAGATCCTCAGAAAGTTCTAATTTTTGTTTTTGAGAGTCAGCGTCTAAAAAAAGGCCTCAAATTGATGGCAATTTCAGAAAGGCGAACATTAAATTTGATCTGTGGCAGACTTGATGAGCATTTGTCTGCTTATTTATTCTCCCTTTTTTAGATTTGTTTAATTTTCCATCCCACAACAATGACAAATCCCACTACTTTTTTTTAAAAATAGTTAAGGTATTTGCACAACTTGTGTGGCTGTGCGCTGCATTTAAAACCCAGAAAAGGAAGAAAACCAAGGGGATTAAATATAAGAAAGTGTCAGTGTCACAAAAGTCTGTTGGAGTCCTTCACATATTTTGCCTAAATATTCAGTGTGATCAGCAGACACATTCACAAACTTCCTCTCCATCCACCACCACCCCCCTGTGTCCTATGGGACCAACACAGAATTCTAGTGAGGGGTCTCCAGAGCCAAAAAGCAGGAACTCACAGCTGTGCTCATCCCCCTTTCGGCATGTGTGAGACTGCGAGTGTATGTTTTTATGTCTCTTGTCTGCATCAGTGTGTGTGTATGTGTGTGTGTCTGCGTTGCTCTCTCGGACAGTTTATCTGTCCAGTTGGACTTTCTATTCCCACTGCTTTACTGGAGAAGTTTCCAGCACTGTTAAATGAGGGAGCGAGAGGGAGCGAAACCTTGGCTTATAGAGCCTAATAAACACTGTGTGTCATTGTGGCTAACGCTGCAAAGCTGAGTGCAGTGGACTGGTTTGTGGAAACACACACCCACCCACACACACACACACACACACACACACACACACACACACACACACACACACACTCACACACACACTCTGAAACATAGTTTTTATTGTTTCTGCCTCCTCCAC